ACTGCTGTGGACACTGTCCTGTCCTGCACCCCGACCTCCCACTGCTGTGGACACTGTCCTGTCCTGCACCCCGACCTCCCACTGCAGTGGACGCTGTGCCGGTTGTGATTTATGGAATTACCTTTGTAGGGAAAGGAAATCTGGATGGCTCGGCTGTACTGGGCGTGTGTATGGCCGTCAGAGGAGGGGGCCATGAGTGGGTCATTTCCTAGAAAGAGATTTGGAAGAGGAAGAAAAAGCAAGTATAAGTGGAACATCCATGCCAGGTGGTTCTGAACTTAAAATGCAGAGTGGACGGGTGATCCACAGAAGGCACCGTCTCACGGGGTGTTTCATCCACTTTTAGAACAACGCCTACACCGGGCCCCACTGGCCGCTGAACTTACAAAACTGACAGAGAGCAGCTTAAGGACGGGGGTAGAAGGGACTGGCCCAGCACCGAACGCCACAGCGCACAGGCGCTTCAGCGGGTGCTGGCGACGTCGGGCAGCTCTGAGCATTGGAAGTGGCAGGCGGAGCCGGGCAAGGCCGCCGCCGATGATCAGCACACTCTTCCACCCGGCTTCTTCACTGCACTTCCGGGAATTATTGGAGTTCAAAGGAAGAGCTTTCCTGCCTGACTTAAACAAACAAGTCATTCAGGCCACTTGCTCCACTCAGGAGGGTTCTAATAGATTTGACCCTTCCCTGGCAGCACTATTCGCCTGTTTTCAGAAGCGGGCGAATTTTTCTCAGTAGCAAAACTTTAATCTTTATTCCCTATTTTCTTGGTTTAAGGCAAGATTTCTAAAACTTACAAATTAATATGCTTTTCAGAACTATCATATTTATGTTACTTTGCTTAAAAGCTTGAGGAGGCTGGGGCAGTGGTGGTGACACACGTCTTTAATCTCAGCACTCATGAGACAGAGGCAGGCAGGTCTCTGAGTTTGAGGCCAGCCATCACAGAGAAACTTGGAAAAACCCAAAACCAAACAAACAAAAAGCACCTTCAGGGGAAATAGGTATGGCAGATTACAAGTGTACAATCAGGAACACACACACACACACACACACACACACACACACACACACACACACACACACACACTGAGAGGGCTAAAATGGTGTTAGATAAGCATTTCAAGATGAGGAAACTCATTTTCTACGAATTAAAAAAAAAAAAAAAGAAGAAGAAAGCAAGATGTAAATGATGGAGCCAAAGCCCAGAAGGAGCAGAAGGCTGAGCAGAGGTTAGAGGCTCCTGTCTCCCTAGCTACAAAGGGGCCAAGTCACGTGTTCACACCTGGCTACAAAGGGGACTTGACAACTCTCCCCAGAGGCAGGTGCCAGTCACCCTGCGCCACCTCCTCCGCACACCACACTCTAGCCTAGCACTGCATGCTTGTCAAGACCCTGCCTGGCTCCTGTCTGAGTGACGCCATCCTGGCTTCTCAGCAAGGGAAGATGGCCGGTGGACACATACATGCCACGCAGCACCATCCTACTGGCTCTTCCCTCCTGCCTTGGTGAGTAGTCACAGCAACAGGTGAGAATAAGCGGCATTGTATGTGGTAAGGCAACATGACTAATGTGAGATTTATTGGTTTTTAAAGACACTCTGCTCTTAACAACGGAGCCATCTCTCCAGCCCCTGGTGTGGGCTCTGACTACTTGTTAAAAGTGAACTCACACCTTATTGGTCACAGGCCATCTGCTTTGCCCCAACTGGATCTCTGTCAGCAAGCAAGACTGGCCTGAATTCTGGGCATCAGTTCTCACTAAAAGATAAGCTCTGACCACTTATTTTTGTGAGGGTAATGTAAGTAAGTGCTTGGGTACATGGAATCAGAAGACAGTGAGTAGAAACAGCACAACTTTTAGGTAGAGGGCGCCTGCCTCAGGCTCCTGCCTCAGCCTCTTAGCTGCTGACATTGGAGCCTGCACCCAGCATCAGCAATCGCCTGCATTTAACTGAAATGTAGTTTTCAATCCTTTACCCAGTGAGCTTCTTTGCTCAGTCAGCATACTCTAGGTGTGGAAGTCACTGAAGAGCTTGAAACAGCATTCTAATGCATTCCAAGAATTTACTGGAATTGTGATGACATCTGTGACCTTTTACTACCAATTACCCCTACCAGTGCCCGTAGCCTAAGGCTGTGTGCCCCAAGGAATCAGGCAGCTGTGAGGTACATAAACTCTTGCAGACTCTTAAGTGGTTCCTGGTCTGAAAGAATTTCCACACTTCCCTAAATGCCTTAGGCATTAGGGAAATTGGGGCCATTACGAGGAAGAGAAAGTTGAGCAGGTAGTCTGGAGGCTCAGACTTGACTCCACTCCATCCCTTCGCCCTCTGCCCCCCCCCCCCCATCGGGAGCCTCCCGTCTCCTCCTTGCTTATTTCCCCCAGACCTGCTGTGTTGCTCTAACCGTAAGACTTCACCCCACTATTCACCCCATTTCCTTTGTTCACTGGTCTGTCTGTCCGTCTGTTCTTGCCCCTATCACTGCTTTGTAACTTTTCCTTTCCTACCTTGGTCCCCACGAAAGCAATGACTCTGTCCTCTTTACTGGCATCCTAGTAGCTAAAACTGTGTCGGGATAGCAAATAGATGAGCAAGCAAGCCGTAATGCCACTCTGTATGAAGCCAGCCCAAGACAGCTGCACTGGGGTGATGCCTACGCATATTCTTCCAAGGCCCCTGGGACCAGGCCACTAAAACACATGACTGGCTGCAGGTCTCAGGGAGTACACCACTTCCCCTTCATTAGAAAAAACACTTTCAGCCTAAACGTGGCCCCTGAGAACCAGTGAGAACTGACATCAAGCATCGTACATCATCCATGGCTGGTTTCACTCTTAGGGAACTGTCAGTGGACTCCTGGCAATCTGAATAAACTGTTGACATAAGATCAAGAGTGAGAACCCTGGCCAGAGGACACTGGGTCAGGACAGGAAAGGCAGGTACAGTGCACTGGGGTCCCTACTAGCTCAGAAAGGTGGAACAGAAAGACAGAGTTGGGGTGTCTGGGCATCCTTTCAGCTGTCACTTCTGGGTTCAAAATGGAAACATACAGTCTTTGCTTGCATCTTTTGCTCAAGCATTCCCAGTACTTGAGTGTATTAAAGTGACATTGGGAGATGCTTTTACTAGTGCCCAGTACTATAACACTATCATCCCTGAAGAAAGGATTCAGTTTGTCTTCAACTAACAAATATCAAAATCTAACAAGAAAGCCGGACGGTGGTGGTACATGCCTTTAATCCCAGCACTCGGGAGGCAGAGGAAGGTCCATCCTTTCAGTCACTTTTGGGTAAATACAGAACAGACCACATACTGCTTCAGAGAATATATAATTAAGACACTATTTTTTTTTTTGAGTTGATAAATGGAGTATTTTAGAATCATGAGAGGTAAAGGCTGATACCAAAACCTGAGCAAGGTAATTAGTTAAATATTCACCGTCCTTGCTAGATGGCAAGAACATCAGCCTTTAGCATTTCAAAACATGCCTCTGCAGAGTAACAGAAAAGCCCCAAGGACAAAAGGATGAACACTGGTGCAAGACAGAGATGATGCCAGTACAGTTCAGATATCTGCCCAAATACCTTTTATAAAAAATTAAGATAGATAGATAGATAGATAGATAGATAGATAAGTAAATACTCACAAATGAAAAAATAACCAATATCCTTACTTGCTGGTGTGGTGATATTTTATTTGTACTGAAATGTGATTTTAATTTTATGTTAATAAATAAAGTTGCCCTGGGGTCAGAGCTATTAG